CAGAAGTCTACTGTGTAAATATCCTATCTTTTAAGATATACTATTCAAAATCTCCAGGAGGTAAAGAAAAGAAAGGAAAAAGGTTGCTTTTCACAAGCAAGGACTGGAAGCCATAAAATTAATTGCCAATGTTAAGTAGAGGTGAGTCCACATAAGTCTGATGGGCCCAACCTTAGGGGTAGGTCACAATTCCCACATTTTAGGGTTAAAAGGTTGCATTGATAAGCAACTCCATATATATGTAGTTAGGAGGTAAATGACAAAAAAAATCCTTGGAATTTCTTGTTCCTGGGCCAGGACAGAGTCCAGGCTGTCAAAAGGATTCATGGTACAGCCCAGTTTGGATTTTACAGGCCCAAACTGGGTCTGTTGACTTGGATCCAGAGAAAACAGTAGAGGCCAGGATACGTAGGTGGCCTATTCTGATGGAAACATTTTCCCCACTGTTGCCACATTAACAATCTGTTCTTGAGTCAGATAGAAACATCCCCCCCCTCCCTGACCCATCCAGTCTCCTGGACAGAATTGTCCTTGGCATACTCCTGGCTGCCCACCCTCCCTGATTTCCTCCATGCTATCCTGTGGAATTCTCAAGAACCCTGTGAATAAAGGCAAGTACTCAACGGGAGACAATTTTGCTGACTACAGTGAGCTTTTATAGCCCCAGAAACAAGTCAGGTTAGTGTTTTTTTTTCTTTCTCCCTCCCTGGACACAAGCCACTCCAGAGCTTGTATCTGAATATTTGGTTCTCGTATATATTTATTTACTTAGGAGTAGCATTCCTGTTTTTATAGCTTTGAGTTTTTAATTTTCTTGTTAGCAGCATTAACAAGGTTCATGGCATATAAAGCGAGCTGTGGAATTTAAAAAATGTTGGTCTAATGTAACACCAGCCTTTTTTATATACATGTTCAATGGCAAACTCCTACTGACAGGCAGAATGCATTTCTATGTCTGGGCAAGTTTATAGATGGTGTTCCCACCTCTGGGCCATAAGGTCACAAATTTGTTTCTGATTCTATTAAAGAAACACTCAGCAATGGTAAGTCTGTGTGCTTCTTTTCTTTCTTTCCCTTTCTTTTTTTAATGAGGGGGGGGCTGTTTTATAAGATCCACAATCTTAAAGATACTCCAAGGAATCTGTTGACTGCTGGGCTTTTCACCCCTGTGCCCTGACCAAATAGTACTGACTGCAGATTTGAGAAGTTTTGTCTGCTAGCAGCCAGATAAGACAGATTTTGGAGAAATGTTGCATGACTGAAAAAGGAACAGGCATTGTCCCTGTCACCTATCCGTGTGTCTGCCCTGGTTTCATTGGGGTTCCATGGGATCTACCTCTGCACCGAAAGGATGTGCAGAAATTACAGATTCACAGTACCTGTTGGTGCTCCTCTTTGCCCAGCAGATCCTTGGTGTCACTCTGAGCACGTTCCCAAAACGCTTTGCTGCCTGGCCCTGCACACTTGTGGGATGAGGGAACAGCATTCCTCCCTTCCCTGCCTCCACCTCTTTGCAAGGTTTCAGAGGCAAGGCAGGAGAGATCAGTAAAGGCCTTTGCAGCACACACATGAATAAGGATATTTACTGAACTCGTGGCCAGGACAAGCAGAAAGGTGAGTCACGGGTGGCTGCTGTGCCCCAGGAAGCAGCAGCCCTGATTTTTCTGGGACTTAGTTTAGGTGTGTTCCCCTTTAAGGCCGTGTGGTGGCTCCAGCTGCAGTTCCTCAGCAGAAGTGTTCACTGCCTCACTCCCAGCCTCGTTCAGCAGAGAGCAGCCACAGTCCCGCCTGGCCTCAGCCATCAAATCCCTCCATGCTGAACACACACTCTGGGCTTTGTGGCTGCAAACATCCAGAGCCTTGAGAAATGAGCAGGGGCCAGCAGAAAGACTGAGCTGACAGGGTGAAATCAAGAGCATGGGAGAGAGAGAATGCTGGTGAGTTTGGAGGAGGGAGGACAAACTCAAATGTCTGCTGAAAGAATTCCAGCATCATCCATTACTGTCCAGAGGGCAGTCACAAAAAAGCAGAAGGGCAAGAAGTACAGCCTTTGCTGTGGGATTCTTTGGCTTATTGTGGTTAGGAGGATCAAGGCTAGGTATCACATGCCTCCACTGAAGAGAGATGCCCTGGAATAAAGCAAGGAATTCCTAGGCTAAGGAAAAGGCTGACCATGTTGAAACTGAGCACAGGAAAGAGAATTTGGCTGTAGAGTCTGACTGGAGGACTTCTAGCTACATGAGAGGACTCCAGGTCTATTATTTCTCTAATTTCCTTATGCCCCCAAGGAAGCTTTTGCTGGAAATTTGCTTCCATTTATGGGAGGACTGGAAGAATGAGGGCCAGACTGTGACTGAGTATCTGGCAATCAGAAATAGGGTTCAAAGGAGAGGAAACTGCTCAAGCAGGATCTGACAGTGCTATTCTGCACTGAAAATTGACCCCTGCAAGAGACAGGCTGGTCATTCCACGTGGTTATTTCTGCAAAGGGACAGTTCAGGAAACTCTCTGCAGCCTGGCTCCTGTAAGCTGACCTCGCTCTCTGAAAATTGTCATCACCACAGACTCTGATGGCCCAGCCAGCTCCTAACTGATATTTTGTGCAGTATCACCTTCCCCCAGATTCTCTCCTCTGTGATAAGGACGGGTCTGGCTACCAACAATTACCACAAAACCATTACTGAACATCTTTGCTCAGAGGAGACATTTCTTTCTAACAAGTACTTTCACTTTACTATGCTGTATTTGGTCACCTGAAATATAATTGTTTATGAGCACCATGAAAAACCTTTACTAGAACAGGTTTCAAGTCATCTTGCTTCTCCTGAGAAAGGCAAGTTTTCTTTGGCTTTGGAGAGATCTGCAATCTTCTTAAGCTTTTAAAGAATCCTGACAGAAATTCCCTTAAAATAAAGATGTGCAGGTAGGGAGCAGGTATGTATCTCCCACAAAGCACAGGCAGCTCTCCACTAGAGCAAACTACTTCTGTTCCTCTGATCTCTATTGATTTGGTTACTGTTGCAAACCACTTGGACAGTTTACAGCGTCAATTCTGTGAGAAAAGCAGAAGCAGGTTTAATGTGTTTGTATTTTGGTCAGAAAAGAATCCAAAACAGCCAGGGTGGCTTGTCTATGAGAGACAGGATTAATAAGCAAGCAGTGATCAACTACTCTGCACCACATTTAGGCTTTCTACCTTATTAAATAGTACAGACATTGTGAAAAGGATTCAAGGTAATGAAGAGCCTGTGACTTTTTTTGGGTTTGGCTGGCATCATGACACCGAGAGAGAAGTTGATCAGTTTTCTATATAGAAAACCAGCAGATGTTTACCTTTCAGGTTTATCCCCACCTACAAGAGATAATTTCCCATGAAGGCTCTGTACCATTAGGAATGTATAACAAAAATATCCTGCATATGCTAAAACAACCAGTACAGTGACAAGCACTGTGACTCTTTACTCCCAGCAGCATTACCTACAAAGCACAGTTTACCTGACAATGCTGAAGACTCAGGGCATGCTTGTGGGAGGGAAGGATGAGGACCAGGGCTGCTGTGCACATCTGGTTTGGGTTGGCTCTCTCAGCTCCCACAGCACACACTGCAAACCCCACAGAAGTGGCTGTTGTGCAGCACAGTAGCAGACCTGGAGTGTGCACTGGACCAGATCCTCGAGGGTATAAATCAAAAGAGCTGCTCTGCAATCAGCCCATCTGCTGCTCTTTGTGTCACCCCTGGTGTGGGACTGCCACGGAGCACAGTCACGCTCCATGGCTTCCTTAGAGACAGCACAAATACGCCACACACCTCCAGCCCCCTCCAGTAGCTACCCCTGTGCTCTCAGGGATTCTGTCCCTTCCCTCTGCCTTTTCTTCCCTCCCTTCTTCCCCCCAAAACTGGCATCACTCAGCATTTTGGCCAGGAGACCAATTCTCCAAACTGAAAACATCAAAGCCTATCTCTGGTTAGATCTCATCCCAACCCTCCCAGTCTGTTGACTTGGAAAGTGAATAACTAATAAGGCAGCATGCCATTGTTTTCTGTTTGTGATAATGGAAATAAATTGTTGGCTCCAACTCAGGCACTGATTGTTCCTTTGATATCACTGCCAGGAAGCAAAATAAAATGGATTTTTAAAAATCACCTTTCACAGAGTGCCACAGGCATTTGAAAGATGAGCCTTTTTCCATGTCAAAGGCTCTACCAGAAGCGCCAAATACAGGAGAAGAAAAAAATCCAAATCCTTCACTATTAAAAAACCAACAAAAACAGGAGCACAAGAGGGAGTGTGAGAGCAGGATTGGCTGGGCAGCAGGATGGCCTGGTGGGCTGGCACACCACAGATGTCCTGAGAGTGCTCATGAGGGAGCAGCAGAGCTGCCTCCATGGTGAGGAGCACTTCCTGAGAAATACAGAACACATCCTTTGCATTCTCTCTCCCATTAAAAAAAGCACAAGTGGGCTGGATGAATCACTCTGTCTGCCCAGCAGCTCTTAAACTAATAGTAAGAGACTTTGGGAACCAAAAAGGCAGGGGAGTGCTTTGCCCCAGAACTTGAACCACTCATAAACCTTGCTCATTTGTTTCTTTTGTGGTTTGGGGGTTTTCTCAAGCTACATGAAGCAGCAATTTCATTATGCCTCCAATCCTTCCCAGTGTTTTGGTACCTTCCCCACGGAACTTTAGGGGCAGGCTTTCAGGTGTTTGAGTTTTTCTCAGGGTGCTACCACTCCTACCTACCATGCCAGGCATTGGCAGCACTGTGCCACACACACACACCCAGGGAGGAGGTTCCTCTCGGAGTTTGGAGCTGGATGCAGATCTTACACGATCAGAGCATGGCGCTGTTTGCTTTTCATGACGTGCTGCAGTTTGATTTGGCTCGGAGCAGAGGATGGAGCAGAGAGCCAGATTCAGATCTCAGGCCAAACACGGATTTTGGGTTTCAGCTACCAAACTTCATCATGGTTTGGCAAAGCTGTGCTCTCACCTGCTCCCATCATGTGGAGAACACCTGTGATGTGCTGGAGAGGAGGTTGCTCGTGCTGTGAGAAGCTCCCAGCAGGAACACCAGGCTAGGCGAGCCTGCTTTGGCTGGCCCCAGCTGCTGCAGTGGGCAGGCAGTGCAGAGACACTGGAACATGCTCAGAGGAAAACGGTGCTGTGAAGAGAAGCTGTCAGGAGCAGAGTGCAGCTTTGGGCCTTTCCTTGGTGTCACAATTCTTTGAACCTTTTCATTTCTAGCACTGGCACTCAGATGCACAACAGCAGCACGACCTGAGAGCAGACCAGGAGAAATAAGAACTGTATCACTTTCTACAAAAGCCTGCTTTTGAAATGATCCCCCACACTGCCTCCAGCCAGTGTTCTTGGATGTAATTTTTGGAAGAACATGCTAGAAGACCCTTTTTTCCAAAGCTCAAACCAATACAACAACTTAAATGGCAAAAGATCTGTGTGACAAGCAGCGTGGCCTGCTAAATATGAAGGCTGTTGGACGTGGATTTTAGGCCCATGCTTGGCTCAAAGTGCATCCTTGTTATGCAAAGCATTTAAGCAAATGATTACCTTCAAGTCTGTAGTACAGAATGGAGCAATTTAACTGGGACTTCATGAAGTCCTTATGATATAGCTGCTGTTCTGAACATAAAGGTTTGAAGGGCTCCCACCAAAGCACTCTGGAATAAAGTGAAGGCTTTTGATTGCCTTCAGCAAATATTCAACCACGTCCTATTTTTTATACTTATTGCTAGCTTGTAACAGGATATTTAGAAAGAAAAAAGAAGGAACTTTTTTTTCTCCAGATAATACCATCTACTCTATTTCTGAAAATTAAGGGTGTGATTACTGACCCATAAGTACTTTATGATCACAATTTGGTTTGAACTTTTATGAGTGTATGTAGGTTTACTGACTCTAGCACTGCCCAGTAATTTATTTCCCAGGTGGGCTACGAAAGTCATCTGGAAGAGGGCAAACAGTGTCTAAGGGTTTGCTGTGCAAAGGGGTGATTGTGCTAGCTGGATTTGTGCATGGATGGTTTTGGAAACAGTTTTCAGAGGAGAGACTAAGTTTTCTAATAAAATAAAACCTTTTCCTTTAACCCAGAAGCAGTGCTTTAAACTTCTTTATTTCATTGAACGATTGATGATTGCTATCTGCTGCTCTTTTGAGGACAGAAACCATTCAAAGGCAGTAGAAAGCTATTCAGACTCCAAAAGCTGCTGTGACAAATGCGTGAAAGAGCTCTGAATGTCTCTGCAACCCTGTCACCGTTCTTTCCCCAGAAGACAATCAGCCTCAGGGGCTTGCACAAACTTTCATGCACTGAACAGTGCGACCCAGAGTTGGGTACCCGCAAGGGCAGCACAAAAGCGTCAGGTGCCAGAGGCAGCTCCTCTGTGCTCAGGGACTGCTCCTTTGCTGGTGAGAAAAGCTGGGTCAGTGGTGCTCACCTGAGGCAGCTGCAGATGCTGTGGCACTCAGCAGGGCGACTCCTTAGTGCTGTTTGAGTCCCAGAGCACCGGGGTTTGCTGGCAGCAGCTGGCACGCCTGTAAATCCCTCGTGAACATTGATCTGCCTTGGCTGAAGAGACAGAAATGAAACATCAGACTTGAAAATGCAGTCAGCATCCATGTTCTGGCACATGAACTATTGGGGATATTTACAGCTCCCTGGAGACCAAAGAAGTATTACACTGTGCCATGCAAATCCAATATTAAATGAAATTTCTGCTTCTGCAGCTGATGTGGCCTCTACTCATTCCACCTAGCAAGTTCTGGGAATACTTCAATGCAAAGAAAAATCTACTTTGTTCTCTTAAAAAATCTCTCTTTGGCAATATCTCTGAAACTGCAGGAAAGTGATTCCCAAGGAATCACCTCCAGGACACAGCACAGCTCAGACTGCTGCAACACTCATGCTAAAGTTATCTTGGTTTAACTTGAAAGCAGCACCTCCCTGAGGACTCCTCAATTCTGGAATGAGCAATGCATTTCTGTGTTCTGTGAGAGCCTGGATTATTTTTAATCCTCTGGACATGTTACAAAGACCAATTTATAGTCTCACAGAGATGGTAAGGACAAGGGTTTGCGAGCAGACAAAATGGGGGTTGGATGTTGTTGATTAGTGAATATTATTATTTCTGATTTTTCAAGGCAACTTTGACTTCCTTGCCCTGCTTGCTCCATTTCAGAAGAAAAAAGTGGTGGGAACTGGCTCAGATGCATGGACTGCAATGCAGCCATGTTCTCTTAGCCCTGCAGAGAGTTTGATCCATATATTACAAGCTGAGCCAGTCCTCACCGCTCTGGACAGGTGCTGTGCACTAAAAACATACAGAAGATAACAACAGCAAAGCTTTCTTTGACTCCCTCTGTCACCATTTTATACATACCACAACGAATTATGCCAATGACTTTGTTCCCAAATTACTTCAACATGGAAGGGCACCTTGCTTGTAATTTTGAGACATGCAGCTTGATAGCATTTCCCATATTATGCAAGGCTTCCAATGGAAATACCAAGGACAGAGTTTGAGCAAAACTATGGTGTGTGCTTCCCATAACATTCAGCTATGTGTATTTTAAAATTCTCTCTTCATTCATGTTGCAGACCCAGCAGTTCAAACATGTATCACAGAATACTACACAGACATGCAGACTGAATGTGTATACATTTCAGAAGTCATAAAAAACAGTGAGCTGAATTTTCTCCAGTTCTACTTAAATCTCACTTGAACCTTAATTAGTAAATTGCAATTCCTGACACTTAAAGGGTCCTCAGTACAATTGTTCCCTTAATTTTGGCAGATGAAAAGCAAGAATCACTGAGTTTTGTGTTATTTCCAACTAAAAGAATCAAATGGCCTAGGTTTGCCCAAAGCTTCACAAACACCTGTGCAAGAGAGCTTGGCAGGGCACTTTTACAAAATGCTGGTAATGCCCAGAGTCCCACACTCCTGAATTAAAAGCTCTGCCATGTTTTTTGTTTTTTTAAACTTCCACCATGATTGTTTTCATATCTTTGTAAGCATGGCCAGGACTTTTTAGACTGGATCACTTTCCAGGAATTTCAACAAAGGATTTCAACTTGTGGAATAGAGAAAGGGCTTTTTCTTTGGGAAATGTCATTCCTGGAAATGCCATTTACCAGTGTTGTTTCCTGGCAAGTCCTGAGGAGTCATTCCCAGTAAGGGCTGAGATGAGGTGACACAGTGCAGGTGGCAAGTCCCTCGGCTGCCATGCCAAAACACACGGGTCCCCTTTGGTTCTCAGAGAGGCCTCAGTGACACAGAGAGACATTTAGAAGTGTGGCACGTCACCGGGTTATGCTGGAATTTCTGTGGGGATTTACTCAGGTTCTCCAGCTCCACCTTGCCTGTTTATGTCCCCATGGAGATGCCCAGAGCCTGGGGTGGTGGCACAAGGCTGTGCCCTGCCTGGCCTGCGAGCCCAGGCACTGTGAGCAGGAGGGGCAGCAGGGTCATTTCCACAGCTGGCTCCTGATCTGAACCATGAACCACAACGGAAATGCTCGTGGAGGGGCACCCTGAGTGGGGAGATCTGCCTCAGACACACAACACATGATAAAGGCTTCAGAAACATACACAAAGAATAAAAGTGACACTTTCAAAACCAGGGTCAAAGCAGGAGCCAAACCAGGATTTGCTCACTTCCTCACCATTGTTTTAGCTAGACTACTGCTACTTCTTGAACTTAATCTTAAATCTTGAAAATTCATAGCTTTTCCCGGACATTTTTTATGCCATGGTTAGCACTCTGTAATGCTAAAGATTCGACTGTTAAAATAAACGTCCCAGCTACAGACACCACTGAAATGGTGAAGTTCTATTCCCCGAACATCTGTAGAGATTTTATTTTCCCTCTCCAACAGAACCAAGATGACCTTCTCTTCCCCTGAGACTTCTCTTCCTAGGGCCCATGGGGCTTTCTTGGCCTGTCCTAGCCTCAAATCAGAAGGCAGATGGATTTTCAATATGAGCTTTATGGTTACAAGTACCCTTTTCCCACTAAAATACTGAGGATTTCTGTGGTAATTCTACTTCCAGCATTGTCAAAAGGATGCAAAATCCAGGCTTGTTACACGTGAACACAATTTAAAGGGATCAAAATCCAGAAGGAAGTTTTTCTCATAAAGGCAGAGTTTTACTGAGATATGGTATGGTCCAGAATTGGACCCTCTATAAACTTGTGTGCCTTCTCTTGTGGAGGTCAGTATGTTCAGACACAGAAAACAACAGCCCTTACTCTCTTACCCCATCTCTAACAGCTCAAATACTGCCAATGGCATTTCAATTCCATCAAGAAGAGCTCTGACAAGAGGACTCAGAGGCTTTGACTTCAGCTTGGCGCAGAGGACTTTCTTGAAATGATCTTTTACGCATTTCACAGACTGAGCATTTCAGGCATCTGTGTCTGCATCAAAGAGGTGCAGACCTCTGTTCATCTAACGAGAGTGAAAATCCCACCACCCCAAGTTGACACATCACTTCAGAACCTTGCTGGTCTCCTTCAGAAGAATCATTCTTCACCCAGAGCATCAGAAAAGTAATCATGGCTTAAGAGCCCAGAGGTGATGGCTGGAGCCTATTCAAAATGAGGCCCTGTAGCCATCTCCTGGCTGGCTCCCCAGGGCGGACCCTGGACACACTTGCCATGTTTGCAGCAGCTGTGCTTGTGCACTGTCTGCAGGGGGGTCCCCTGTCCTTGGCCTCAGCTGGGGACAGCCGTGCTGCTGCTGCTCCCTGGCAGCAAGGCTCAGGCATACCCTTGAGAAAGGCTGTTTGGGATTCTGGCTGCAAAAATAATCCTTGTGCCTTCAGTCCTGGCAGTGGTGCTGCTCTCCATGCTCTGTGCTGCAGGGATGACAGCTCTGTAATTTTCTTATAAAGCAAACAAGCTTCATTTCACCCCTGACAGCAGGCAATCCAGGGCCAGCAAATTACTGGCAAATGCCTCCTATATTCATCTCTTTAAGTGTTTTGGCTTTTCTTTATGCTTAATTTGCCTGGAGGCAGACATTTGAGATAACAGCTGTTATGGTGATATTATCAGTCAATCTTTGTGTCAGAGAATGCCAGGAAAATGCCTGTGGAGAGGACCTCTTGGGTTCTTTGGTTTGAACTGCTCTGGGGCAAATCCACTCCTTTGTCAACACTGCTCAAAACATGAGAAGAGAACATAATGGGGCTGGTTTCTACTGTGGGAAGAAATGCCTTTTCCTGCTGATGGAGCGCGGGTTCCCTTCCTGCTTGCTGACGATCTAGAGCAGTCCTTTGGCAGACCCTGCCACAGGTTCTTCTTGCTGTTGAGCGGGGTCAGAGCACATCTGCCACCAGCATCATCCCTGTGACTCTCTGGAGATTTGCTTGCTGCAGAATAACAGGGGAGACCCCAAGAAACCCCACTGGAAGGGATCTCTACCCCCCCGTGGAAGGCTGCAGAGCTTTCTTGGGTCCAGTTACAGCGTTTGCTGGGGAGGAAAGTTTCTTTGCTTCCTGAGGTGGAGGGCTCAGTGTCAAGAACCATCAACAAATAGGCTGGAATTCCCTCTGGACAAAGCTGAGCCATCTGCAAGGGCCAAAATGATTGATTGGTTCTTTAGAGAAGATGGCATGATGCAACCAGGAAGGTGTTGGCTTGGGAATTATTGCTCTGCACTTATTTTCTCCTTTCCACAGAAATACAAGATGACAACCCAAAACTTTGCAGCTTTGGAAACAAACTGGGCTGTGCCCCAGTTTGGTGCATTAACGACAATAAGCCAGTTTTTCATGTTAGTTTGATGAAAACAGACATGCTTTGCACTAGACAAACTTATTCATTATGCTTGGATTGAAAACAATTTGTATCTGCAGATCTTAAACTACTTTACTGACATCAAACTTGTGGGAAGATAAGCAGTCACACCTAAGAAATGATCATCATTCCAAAGAAGCAATGGAATACAGGCATTTTGTGTGTCTGCAGTCCCAAAGAAATGGAAAAAACCATTTCTGCTTGCATATTTAACTGCTTTCAAAATTCCTGATATCTCTTAATTATCTTGTAACAGCAGAGATTCTTTTTTTCCATTTCCTTAACATTACCAAAAGCTGTTTTGCTGGAAATTAGAAGGCTAGTTCTAGTCTGCACCCCACACCTCCTGACTGTGGGCAAAGCCTACTGTGGTCTGTTTCCTCACTTGGAAAATGAGGAGGTATCCTAAACACAGGGTTAAGCACTCCAATAGCACAGTGACAGAGCTCACACAGGCGCCTGAGTAGTAGAAGAAATGCATGTGAAAGAGAAGGGTGACCTGGAAGGCAAGCCTTGAACAGAGATCACAAAGGTTCCATCCAAGCAAAGATTTACTGTTACCAAGTAAATCCTGTGGTTTGTTTCCCAAAGGAAGCTTTCTCAGCTTTGAAGCACCCGCTCCCAAGTATTGTCAGGTTATTAAAAGAAGCTGGCATTTTTGTGGGCTTGCAAGATGCACGCAGTAGGTGTGTGAAAGTTATTTCCACACCTGGCACTCAGGTGCAGCAGTTTGGAACAGTGTTAAATGACTGCACAGCAGAGCGTACTCATGCTCCAAACATTGCCATGAGCTCAAAGCCAGTATTAGCAGCCTTTCTTTCTGGGTCTTCCAGAGACACGAGGAACATGTTCCCTGCTCAAACACGGTGGAACCAAACCAGGTAATCTGTACAAACAGAATTTACTAGCACTGCTTTGCCTACTTACTTTCATCACGGCTGATGTGGTAACATAAAGGATTTGTTCAGCATAGGTGAGCTCCTCCTTCCAAATGTCTCCAGGCGTTGGGGAAATTTCAGTTTCTGGAATTGAAGTCTCACAGTCAGTAAGCTTTGAGGGATGAGAATGCAATTGTAAATTTCCTATATCACTGTGGCAGGACAGCTGGGGCTAAATAAACTGGCTGGAAAACTGGTTTTCTTTGATTTCTAGGGAGGTTGACCCAAGGAGAAAAAATTTTGTATTTTTTGTGAAAATCTGGGTAGAGGTTCTGTCCATGAGATTTGCATTATCACACAGATGGACTGCCAAGAGGGGAGGGATACAATTTTATGCTGTGCATCAAAGGCTGACCATGGCTGGAAACAGAGGTTGGTCTTAAAGAACCAATATCAAGGCATCCCACTCTTGGAGCTAAGCTGCCAGAAAAAAAAGGTGAGAAGAAATTCAAGGTTTCATTATTTCAAAGCTACTGGTTATTACTTATGGTTTCATTTGGATACTTTCTCTCAGATATTATGGTATCAAACACCCTCCAAGCAATCTCCCACTAAGATGTTGTTTGCTGGATAACAGACAGTGCCTTTCTCTGGACTCATCACCTGGAACTGAGAAAAAAGGGCTTCACAAATATGCAGCACAGAAAAGTAGAAAAGACAAACAAGGAAATGGCAATTAATATTAATAAGACAATACATGGAGTAACTGGCTTGGCAGTCATGCATTTCCTCTAGCATTTTCTGTGTAATTCACTTCTGTGAGATAAATACAGCCTTGGAAGGCAAGAGGAGATGACTGCTGAAATAGAAATTTTCATAGAAAAGGTCTTTTTCATACTTTGGGAATTTTTTTTTCAATCAACATAACCTATCCTTTGTTAGCCACAATGACAGACCCACACCCAGAGGCTGGAGTGAGAATTCAAAGACCCAAAAAGTTCTTGGACACACTCAAGTAGTCTTTGTGGCACCTGTGATCTTCTTCCTGAGGTTTTTGGGCTCTAGGGGAAGAAAAAGAGGGGTCTTACAGAAGGGAATCTGGGAATGACTCTAACTGCCTGGAGAGGAAAGATCCCTTCTCCAGAAAACAATTACGTTTTTCAAATGTAATCATCTTTAAACAAAACGTGGAAACAGTCTGAGGGAAGAAACCAAAACAAGGTGTCTCCTGTACCTCCTTTCCCAGACAGCATCCCTCATCACCCATGATTACCTTCCCCTTTGAGCTCTAATCACTTCTTTCAACACAATGGCACCACTCATGAAGGAGCTGGGGAACAAACCCATCCTACCCAGCCCACAGCGTGGTAGGAGCTGTGGGTTTGAAGCCCTGAGGCAAGGAAGCCATGGATCCGGGGCTCCCAGCTCTCCCAGTTGGCTCACTCTGGGATAACTACATGAAAAAAACCCCAACTGCCTGCCAGGAGGGCTGGCCAGGAGCCTTACAGGAGGCGAAGCCCTGTGTTGTAAGACAGATGTGATGGGAATTCAGGTGTCTAAATTCCTGTACAAGAAGAGGAACTTCCCATTGCTCTCCTATCTGATCTATGACATATGCACATTGTTTGTAGGGAGGGAGCAGGAAAAGTACATTTCAAAGGATAAGCAGCTGGATGCTGCTCTTCTCATGTTTGGAATTAGAATGAAGTTCCTTTTCTGCTCCAAACTGTGCTAAGAAACATGGCAGATTTTAAATAAGCTATTTAGCTCCTTTTTTCCTTTCAATGATTTATTTTTAAAGTGGGGTATTTTTCTGCCTGATGTGTCTAGCTGCAGTCTTGTTCACAGACACAATTACATACAGGCTACATGTTAAAGAAATAAACCTGTGAGGCTCTAGAAGACTGGAAGGGAGATGTGTAGAAAATGGATAGCATTAACTAAGACCTCTCACTACTAGGATGGTAGCCAGAGGAGATTTTGGGCCAAGAGAAATAAAGGGCTTACCACTCAATTAAGTCATGGAGCCAGACGTTGTAGCCTTGTTCTGGGAACCTGACTGAGGGCCTGGAAGACAAAAGCAGACTAGTGTTGCCCTAAAGAGATCACCACCCCTCGCTGGGAGCACCAGAGCACTTTAGCATGGAACAAGATCCCTAAGTCCAAGAGCGTTCATGTACGGCAGGCTGACACCTTGGGTCCTTGGTTGCAAACAGTGCTGCAGATTTCTCTTTGCACATGTGCTGGGTCCCATTCAGGACCCTTTTCAAGCTTTGCACAGCTCTGGTGGGGTGGGTTCTGCAGTGCTCAGAGAGCTCAGGAGCTTGCTGGGTCACCCCTGTAGGGTTACTGTGCCCGTCTTGGGAGCAGGGCCTGTGGCAGGGGGGGCCAAGCAGCCTCTGGGTACTGTCTTTCCCTTGGAATTCAGTCTGATTGCCTTTTTTATCGACCAGAGGAATAGTGAGGCTTCAAGAACAGCTCAGAGGGAGAGGGGGAAGTGTGAGGGAGTGGTTTACCAGCATGGGATGGGCCCTGCTGCCTTGGCCTGTGCTCCAGGGGGGCTGGCTGGCTGGCACCAAGACTGGGACGTTTCCCTGCTGCTCCTTCTGATGAAGAAATTCACATAACCTGTAAGCACACCTCTTTCTTGCCAGAGACTGTGCCATTGTCTCATGCTCCATCCAAGGCAGCCATCCATTTCTCAGTCCCTCTCTCTGAGGGCTCTGTCGGCAGCGAGCGACCCATGCCTGTGTCCATGGAGCAGTGCAGGCAGGAGGCCGAGCAGGTCTCGGTGTTTGCATACCCCAGTGGCCTCGTGCTTCCTGCACACATGCTCACATTGCTGCGAGCCAAAGGACAGAGCTGGGGATGAGAGGCATGTCTGAGCTCCTCTCTTCATGCACACACTCCCACACTGAGCTAAACTTGTCACAAGCTAAACTTGTCAGCTTGGCAGGAGTGCCACTGGAGACTGGCAGTGCTTAAGAGCAGAATCCATTATCTAGTAAAAACACTGGATGCATGAGACTTTGCAAAGACCCACTCACACCAGTGGGAGGGTGGTTTCCTGGAATGGATCTGCTAGGCTGATCCTCCAAGATGCTACCAAATGACTTCATATTGGCCTCAACAGTAAGAACACTCAAATATTTGAACACCAGGAGGGACAGTGTGGCGTTTTAAACAACTGCTTTTCTCCAAAAGTATTTGATCTGTGAGGAGTAATATCAGCACTTAATTGGAACATATGTCTGAGGCAGGCATGATAAAGAAACTATGCAATGCATATATTTTAATTTTAAATAAATCAATATGATAATTTGGGATCAGGTGGGATTCTGCAGTTGGAAGAAAAGAACAAAGGGAGGCCATTAGTTATACTTTTAATAAATCAATTTGTTAATTAGGGATCAGGTGGGATTTTCCAACATGAGACAGAGGACAAAGAAAGCTCATTAGCTGTGTTTTAAATTGATTGATGTTTTAGTTGGTGTGGGATTCTCCTGGAAATAAATGCAAAATGGAAAATACACCAAACCCTATCACTGGAGAACATACTTGATAAGAAATAAGAAAATTTTCCTACTTACTTAGGGCATCTATATTTTCTAGGCACTCCATAGTACAACACAAGTGTGGTCAGGCTGGAACTGTTGAAAGGTTCAAGGAAACAAAGAGAGAAGACCTATAGTGTATTCAAGGAAAGAAAGAGGAAAGGTCATTTCAGATTTGTGGGACTCACCACAGCTGGGAAATTGATTTCAAAACATTGCAGTGCATTCAGAACCACCAGACATGTTTGAAGATCTCCGTTCTTGTCCTTTGCCTGAGCCTGGCACAGGAAGGTGTCAGCTACAAGGTGTGATGAGTTCTGGCAGGTTCTCTGCAGCAATAAAGTTCACTGTGCACTCAGCTCATTTCCACTGTGTCATCCAGACATGGACAGCATGGTGTTGGTGCAGCATCTGAAAGCAAAACATTATGCAAGACAGGGAGGCAGGAAGGAGGGGGAATAGAAGGTTAAAAAGGATGGTATTCAAATGACCAATTGGATAACATTCAGCCTACTTACTCTTTGATGCTGCAATGGAGGAGAGGAAATCAAAGCTATCAGGACATATTAAGGAATGCCAAACACTACAGGAAGCAAAAGGTTTCATCATAATCAGTGTCCATTTGTTCCCTCCTGTGCTGTGTGTTTAAAAGGAGCTTTAGAGGTAGTTTTACTTCTGCAGCTTTTGTTCTTGTCTTGTTTCAGCTCTGTCCTCCCAGAACTGCACACAGGCAGTTACCGTTGATGGAAAATAACACTTCCTGTGAGGTTTGTGATTTCCTGAGGATGCATCTTCTCTTGCTGCCTGCACAACAAGGTGCATGTGAGAATTACCTCTCAGGACGGCAATGGCTCATCTGTGCCACTGCCACGTCTGCCTGTAGCTAAAAGGTGTGCAGGACTTGCTGCAAATTTAAAAACCATCTAATTTCAAAGGCCATAAGATCAAAAGTTCAGATTTTATTGGGAATTGCCCAAATGCTGCTCAGTGCCCCAGCAGGCTCTTCATCTGTGATACCCAGGAGCTGTGAGCAGCTTAACTCATGGTGCTGTTTCAAGAGACATGTAAAACCAGAGAGCCAGCCAGCTGCAGCAAGACATAATAAAGATATTGAGTTTGCATACAATCCTCAAGAATTTCCTCAAAGGATCTTGAGTTTATTTTCTCACCTCAGTGTAAGGGTGAGCTTTAACAAAATGGCTGCCAGAGGGGTGATTTAGCCCTCAGCTCAGAGGGGCTGTTGTGATGGATAGTGGATACTATTTCCACAGAGGAACAGGGCCTCAAGTTTTAATCAGCTATGTCCACTAATAGAATCTTGCTCAAAATATTTTTGGCCCTTCTTTTGTGAGCAGATTCTCCACAGTAAGTAGAAAAACACATCCTAGACATGACTTACAATGCTGCTCTTCTTCTGAGAGAAGAGTCACACTGAGTCCAAGCACAGCAGCATCTTCAGAGGTCCAAAAAGCCAGCAGCCAGATTGAGGCTCTGCCGAAACCTGACCCATAAGAAAAAGAGCAGTTTTATCTTCCAGATTTTTCAATAAAAATTTCAAAGTAATTTTAAGTCTCAAGAATGCAAATAAAGAGCCAAAGATTAATATTTCAAGACTTTTTCTTGAAGCAGTAACTTAAAGAGCACTTCATTTCTTCAACTGAAGATCCAGAACCTGTTTCCCAATAATTTTTTTAAAGAAAAATCTTTGGGACTTATTTAAAAATATTTTTCTGTATGTAATCTTAAAAAAAAAAAAAAAAAAAAGAAGAAGAAAAGTGGTGTCCTTGGCCATCAAGACATGGCCAGTTTCTTGAAAGTTCTTACCAAGACTTAACAAACGTGAGCAGTCCTGTAGTTCCTAGTCAGCCACATCAGCTTGCTCTCCTCCTTCAGGGGAAGTACTGCATCCCTGGAAGTGGCAGACAGAGCTGCAATTCAGAAGAACATCAGTCATCGAGATACTCAAGTACATACTTGAGTGCTATTAGCATAATTGGGACTCGAGTCTATGATTGAAGTTAAGTATTATTAAAGTTAAATTTCTTTAAGATAAATTGATTAATGCAGATGTTTAGGTAATTTTAAGCAATAAGGACAGCAAGTTCAAACAATTTGTCCAAATCTGTGAGTGATTTTTACAGGAAACCAGTATTTCTAATCTCACAAGTCCCAATCTCAACCCCATAAATGCCTAAAAACTTGTTATTCCTTAATGCTGCCTATTTTCTGCATATTCCCATGATGGCTTTGGAAACTTCATCAAGGGAACAACAGGGCTCCTTAGGCTCAGCTTGAGGAGAGGACTGGGCTGAATGAGCCAAAACCTTCACTACTGAGAGGTTTGTCAAGGCAGTTTCTGGGCACTGGCAAGCTGAGACACCAAAGGTGTGTGCCTGGCTCCTCCATAAAGTCAGGAAAGAAGCAGGGGCTGAGCCCTTGTGCCTCTTGTCCTGCGTACACAGAATCCAGCACTGGCTGCAGACAGTCAGGAGCTCACACCACAACAACCAAACCCACAGAGAAGAGCCCAACCCACCACAGTCCTGTTCATTAATTCACAATAACTGCTTCCTCTTCTTTGCAGTCTGTGATTAGAATTTGAAAACCAAAGCCATTATCCTCCAAAATGCTAAAATGACAGATACTCTGTGAGAAAACAATGGGTCTCACTCCCCTCAGAATCCACCAGAGACAAACACAGCCTGGCCTCCAGCCCAGCTTTATCTGAGTCTTCCACTTGACATCCACTTGGGTGATGTGAAGCTCTGCTGGATGGCCCCAAATTTGCCTCCAGACTGCTACTTATTGTTCTCCTTTATTCTTTCTGCAGAGCTAGCGGAGACACACCGGCAGTGTGCTGGCAGTGGGAGCTGCCACTTTGGGAAGAGTTCTGATTAAAATATACATTGCTTTGATCAGTGCCTTCCCTGTAGTGTAAGATAAACACCATCAGCAGTTTGGGTTGATGCTCATTCCTGAGGCACATGCTGTGAAGTTACTGCACCACATTAAGCAAAAGTTTAAAAGGAAATTATTGTAGCCGGCTAGGACCTGGAACTATCCTGAGACTAGAAATGTTAAAATCTAAACCAAAGCAAAGCAGCACTGCCTTCCCTCCTCTGTCAAGTAGGGTCTTCCACAATAGTAAGTCAGATTAGGGGCTGAGATTTTTATAGCTGGACATTCATGTCAGAGGTATGTTTCATAACTAATTTAATGCTTTATGTATTTTCATTCAGCACCAGAAATCTCACAGATTTACACCTCCCTTTGGGTGGTGAAGCTTGTTTGAATATCCCAGCTGGAGCCTGGAAGAGCTGTCTGAACTGTAGCAATGGCCTTTATGTCAAGATTTTAAATGCTACTTTCCCCTCTTTTTTCCTGTTTTCTTTTTCTTCTTGCCTTTTTTCTTCTGAAGCCAAAGTGATGTCTAATTACAGGAAACTCATATTAGCACATATAGCCTTCATAAATTTTTTTTTTGTACTTCAACTTCGTCTGCAAAATTTAAGTTTTGGAATTTGTTTAAAATTTTCTATTGCTCAAGGCCTACATTTCTAGGGAAGAGAATGCAAAAAAATTACATGATTAAATATGGCAAGAGAATGGAGAGTAGCTTAATGATGCCACTTAGAAGTTCAAAAAAAGGAACACAGGCATTAGAGGAAAACGTAGGGCTATACTGCAGTTTCTAAAATGGAACTTCTAATGACATTTTATTATTTCCTAGGAGAAGGGCAATCTGTCTGCTCAGGGCAGGAACCAGCCCTTCTTTCCTTCTGCCATCCCTAGAAGTGGGCCTGATGCTCAGTAGATACAACAAGGTTGAGCCCCCCCCAGGCAATGGAGATCCAGGTGATGGATTGTCCCAGTCCCTGCTAAAGTGGGGCAGTGGGTGGGGGCTGCTGCTCAGCGGGGCCCAGTGGCACCAACACCTCTGTGCACCCCTGCTCTGTCCATTTGAGGGCCTTTTGCAATAAACATGCCATAAAACTGTTTTACAAGCCAGGTCTCACTCTGCTCTCCAGCTTTTTCTCGTTAAGGACATTGCTGCTTCAAGGAAGTTCAAGCTGCAGCACATTTCACATCCCTGAAATGCATTCCCTGACGTGTTTGGAAATTATTTTACAGCAACTGGGAGAGGAGACCAGGTCTGCGGGGGAGCAGGGAGCTGAGTGCTTCAGAGAGAAAGTAGACCTCGCTGAAGTTTGTGCGAGCCCCAAATTACATACCTAGCCCCACCAAGGAAACAAATGAATTCATTTGCTTCCCAATGGCTTATTTATACAACCCTTTAATTATAGCCAACTGTATCACCAGTGTTATACCATGGGAAAGTGTAAAACTGTTAAGCAACCTGCCACTCCGCCCTCCCCAGAGCGACAGCACAATCCTTAAGCAACAGCTACATGCTGGGACATCACCTTCTCTTTTGTCTTTCAGAGGTACAGTTCAATAATGTGGCTATGAAAATGTGACCTCAAACCCAACTCCTTTTCTGGGCTTTTGTGTGCTCCTAAACTCTACCTCTCTTCTGGGTCGAAAAAATGGGACAGCTTTGACCTGCTTGCAGCACAAAAAGGGATATTGTTCAAAAATTTGCTATTTTCCCACTCTGCCCCTGAGTCATGATCAGCCCTGAGTCCTGTTAACTGCAGTGCTGCCCAGCCTGTGCTGGCTCCTCAAATGTGGCGAGTTTAGGTGGCTCTGCTGACTTCAATTAAAGCATTCTAATTGTTCCTAGTTCCACAGGCACCAGCTGAGCCCCTGCTTTGGCCCTACAAAGGGCCAGTGTGTTACAGCAGCTCTCTGCAGCTCTCAGGGCCCCATGAACGCCACCCATGAGGAGCCATTACAGCTGCCCACGGTGCCAAACAGCATCCTAGCAGGCACAGGGACGATTTTGAGAAAACACAGAATTTACTGAAACGGAAGTATTCCAAGCTGCTGTTTCACTCCACATTCAGTCCGCTTCAGAGGACAAGACAAAAATATTTCACAGCTGTCTGTGGATGGGGACAGTGCTCTCCCTTCCACTATGGGGCTGCAAGAAGGGCTGTGTTATAAAGGATGGGAATCCTTCCAAATGTTTTTATGTCTGTTATAAAGGATGGAAATCCTTCCTGATGTTTTTATGTGTGAATTGTCTTTCAGTACTTGCATTAGCGGACTCTTTCAGGTACCATGATCTTCTCAGGGAAGGGGTAAGCCTTGGTGGCTTAGCAGCACTGTAATATGAACAGCTTTATTTAGGGACAAAGATAACTCACCTTAATGCTAGATTTACCTACAGATATGCATATGAATGTCCTATGTATGAGCAAATCAGAACAGATTAGCAGGGAGGCTCTGGAACCTCCATCAGTCAGACTATATCCATCAAGCTGGTTATCCTAAAGATAGGCGTCATTCCCACCATGTGTCCAAAGGTTCAGTGCAAGGGCTGTAGGGCTGTGCCAGGTGTCTTGGGAAGGCCTTTTTTGATTAGGAGAGTCTTTCCAGGCTCTATACTCAAGAATACCTCAAGGATACTCTGTTCGAAGTTCAAAAAGAGCTAAACAGAAAGCACAAATTACCCACAAGAAAAAGGATTATTTAGCAAGTTAATTGAGGCTTTCTTTGTATTTCTATTTAATTTAAAGATGGCATGAAGTGAGTTTTAGCACACCACTCCTCCAGAGAGAGATGAATCAATGCTCTAATTCTCTCTTCTCCACCCTTTGAGGCAGCATTTCACAGGCCATGTCTGTGATGCCTGAGGATGGCCTTTAGACTGAGTTTGGTCTTAAAAACAGATCAAAAGAAAATTTGCCATGTCCTTCAAAAGGCAGGCCCTCTCCTCCCCTTTCTCACAGAGCTGTAACAATGAAACCAGGTTTAGAGTGAGGAACATCCTCTTTAATTCTGTATAAATGCTTTGGCTCACAATCTCTGCTTTCCAGATGGGAAGAGCAGGTTAACCAGTTTGAGGGAGCTTAATTATTTCAATCTCAGTTCTGAGCTAAGAGTGGGGAAAAATGAGGATTTCAAGAAAAAGTAGAGGTTTTATATTACGCAGAAACTAAAATACTGAGCCCCAGGCTAGCTGCTAATATACCAGAGGCATTTTATCTCATGGTTTTATTATGACTGAAGAGAGATAGAAGATTACTTTAAAACCTCAGCTATGGCTGCAATAAATAAATAAATACATTCCCAGCCCTCATGGTGGTAGAATAATGCCATCAAGTGTGAGCAGGGTGTATCCACCCCAGAAGTCTAAAACCAAGAAAAAGTAACAAGACAGCAATATTCTTGACCCGTACGCTGTAGTTCTGTGATTTGTCATCCAGCCCTAATTCAGGCTCGAGACAATGAGATCCACACGGACCCATACACCTCTTACTGACATTTCAGATGCTGTCCTTACTCTGAACACAGTAACTGTGTTGAGATGTAGAAGATAAGATTGGTCTGGAGGAAGCACAAACTGGTTGAAATCCAAAACCCAAATTCCTGCATCTTTACAAAAGTTTAGAATATATATGTTTATATATTTTTCTCACAAAATATCCTTTCCTGATTTTGGCTGGAGATAGGACAGTAGCTTGACAAAGACTACTTCCAAGTTGTGTTTAGCTCAGCAAAAGCCAAGACTTAAAAGAAATCTCTAGGGAAAACAGCCTTTCCTCCTTTCACTGGTTGGTTGTCAATCTTCTCTGGGGTTCCCTGATGATTCTTCATGACTTAGCAACATAAAATCTTCCACTGTACTTCAAAGCCTTATTTTAAAACAAATGTTCTCATTGAGAAATGCAGGATCAGAAAGCTGGGGCTCTCCAAGCCTCCCAGGGTTGTCTGGGCTCAGCTGGCTGGAGCTCTGTGAGCTGGTCTCTAATAGGAACATCCTACTGGAGAGCCCTGGGCTGCATTAGCATTTATTTATTTC